GGAGAGATGGAGGGCAGGAGATGCTGAGCCATTACCAGACCTGTAACCAGGAGTTTGGATTTAAATTCCGGGATGTTTTGTATTTCCAAGGCGAACGCTCTCCTAGCAGCGTTTTCTGCCTTCATTGCCTTTCAGGCTGCATTCCCAGCTCCTTTCCCCAAGGTGACTCTTTGCTTTTTATTGGAAATATTTGGGATTTATTTCTCTCATTGTGTGCCTAAATCAAGGAGTTTCCTGGATGCTCAGCCAGCTCCCCAAACCACCCAGGGGTGAAATGCTCCCCAGCCTCGGGGCCAGCACAGCTTTTCCCTTGGGAATGGGAATATCCGTGCTGGAGTGGGACACGAGCCCAGAACATTCCCAGTTTTGTTGTCAAATGTTTCCAATAATTACAGTTATTACAGCCCCACGTGCTGTTTGTRTCTGTGTGCCCACACAGGTTGTGCTGAATAATTACTGCAGATTTGAGCAGGGAAAATGCTCATTTCTTTGTTCCAGCAACATAACAATATTTATAATAGAAACCCTCTTATTTTGATGTCATTTACCCATGAGAAAGACCTGCCCCAAGCACTGCCATGGCCACTGTGAGAGTCGGGATGCAGCACTTGAAAAACAAAATGAAAAATAAATTGTGCCTTGCACGCTGCGTTTTAATTTAATCACAGAATTGGAGATTCACCGAAGGGTTTGGGCTGGGAGAGACCTCACAGATCATCCTGTTCCACCCCCTGCCACGGGCAGGGACACATTCCGTGAATTTAATGGCATGGCATTAACGGGAACTTGGTGAAATTGTATTTCCCTTGCACCAAAGCCCAAACCTAAACACAATTTATGACTAATTACACCTGCATGGGCAATGTAAATGGGATTGAACATTGTGGCACTGATTTTATATAAGTAATGTGTGTTCTATAATCACAGGGATATAAAATAAATGTGTTGGGCAAAGAATTGCACATTCTGAGGGAGAGAGGGAGAGGGAAAGGGGCAGAATGAGGGACAGAGAAATGRAATACAACAAAATATTGTCAAATAGCAGGGAACAAATCCATCCCAGCCCTGGAACGGGGGTGTTGCACCAGCTGTGAAGGGTTCAGGGCTGAAAAGCTCAGCCTAAATGACCAAGCTGAGCTTAGCAATGCYCACCTCGGGGATAACTTGGATTCTTCCAGAAGCTTTTTGAATTCTTCCTTGGCCAACAGCAGCTTGTTCTTCTTCTCCTTGTACTCCTCCCTGATGCGGGTCTTGACAAACTGCTCGAAAATCTGGSGAGGAAGGGACACGAGACAAAGAGTTACTGTCACACCTTTGTGGGGTTCCTGCCCCACCTGCCCTCCCCACGCACTGAGGGGGTGTTTGTGTCCATCACCTCTACTGGATTAAAGGGGAGCAGGGTTTGTAGGAATCCCAAAACCCCAGAATCCGAGAACCCCAGAATCCCAGAATCCCACACTGGTTTGGGTCAGAGGCACCTCAAAGCCCACCCAGTTCCACCCCACAGGCTGCTCCAAGGCTGATAAAATCATTCCATGTTTCCAAGAAATGTCTTGATTGACATCATGGTCCAGGGGCTGTCCTTTCCCATTTTCTGAAATAAATCCCGAGCTCCCTGCTCACGCTCTTTAGCAGCACTTTCCATCCTGGCAGCTCCTCATACATTTTCATTCCTGTAGCTCCTTATTATTTTATTTTTTTTTTTTCCTCAGGAAAGAAAGTATTGGAAAGGGAGCAAATGAAGATGTATGTGCCCAGTGCTCGGGTAAATACCTACAGGAAGCTCTCTGGAGAACCACGGGACAATATGGAATAAGTTCATTTTTCATCCTGTTTATTTACAAATGGACAATTCCATATTCAAAGTTATTCCTTTTGCAGGATGACAAAAGACTTTTAAGGGAGAGAAATAACCACGGAACAGCAGCGTTCACTTCTCTGCAAGACCCCTGCATCTCTCCTGAATTTTTCAGGTTTCTCTGCAGATTTTGGGATCCCCGGGGGTAATTAATGCCCAAATTATCAAGGCAGCACAAYTCCACATCCCTTTGGAGCTCCCCAGAACCCAACCCTTGCTCTGTCCAGTGGAGGCTGTTATTGCAACTGGAGCAGCAAACCCCTCCAGACTCCTGGAATGTGGCCTAAACAACACAAATTCAGCAATACTGCAATCATTCAATACAATATTTCAATCATTCAATACAATATTCAATGCAATATTGCAATAATTTAATACAATATTGCAATAATTTAATGCAATATTGCAATAATCGAATACCATATTGCAATCGTTCAATGCAATACTGCAATCATTTAATACAGGATTGCAATAATTCAATACAATATTTCAATAATTTAATGCAATATTGCAATAATCCAATACCATGTTGCAATCATTCAATGCAATATTGTAATAATTTAATACAATATTTCAATAATTCAATGCAATATCACAATCATTCAATACAGGATTGCAACCATTCAATGCAATATTGCAATCATTAATGCAATATTGCAATAATTTAATACAGTTTTGCAATCATTCAATGCAAAACTGCAATCATTCAATGCAATACTGCAATCATTTAATGCAATACTGCAATCCTTTAATGCAATACTGCAATCATTCAATGCAATATTTCAATCATTTCATGCAATATTGCAATAATTCAATGCAATATTGTGGGTCCAATTCAATACTGCAATAATTCAATGCAATACTGCAATCATTCAATGCAATACTGCAATCATCCAATACAATGTTGCAATAATCCAATACCATATTGCAATCGTTCAATGCAATATTGCAATAATTTAATACAATATTTCAATCATTTAATGCAATACTGCAATCACCTAATGCAATACTGCAATAATTCAATGCAATATTTCAATCATTCAATACAGTACTGCAATCATTCAATAAAATACTGCAATCATTCAATGCAATATTTCAATCATTCAATGCAATATCACAATAATTTAATGCAATATTGTGGGTCCAATACAATACTGCAATAATTTAATGCAATATTGCAATAATTTAATGCAATACTGCAATAATTCAATACAATATTTCAGTCATTTAATGCAACACTGCAATAATTCAGGGTGGAACTGTCCCCCTGGCCATTTCCCACCCTACAGCCAGGTTTCCCAGGCTCAGGAGTTGTTGATCCTTGTYCCTGGGATCAAACCTCTTTTGTAGCATTTTTCTTTCCAAGGAGACAGCACCGGGAATCCCAGGATATCCCGAGTGGGAATGGCCCCACAGGGATGGTGGAATCCAATTCTGGCAGAGCCCCCAAAACCCCACCTGGTGCCTGGGAACACCACTCCCGATGGGCAGAGCCAAACCTGTGAGTCTGCACAGGAAATTGGGATTTTATGAAATCCTTTATCCTCCCAAAGAGCTGCCATGGGACCCCATGAATGTGGGAAGTGTTTGTGCAGAGAGGGGGCTGGATCCACCATCCCTGTGGGGTCATCCTGGGTCTGGATTCCCCATCCCTGTGGGGCCATCCTGGGGCTGGATCCCCATCCCTGTGGGGCCATCCTGGGGCTGGAT